CGTTGGGTTTTTGTAGCGAGGAAAAACAATGGCGTCTCCACACAACATTTTCACAGTTGTACGGGCGTGGTTTGCAATTCGCCCAGCCAATCAGCACTGGGGCACTTTTCACCCACAGGAAAGTACGATCTCTCAGCAGGCTCTAAAAATGGGGGTAAAAGTTCGATTTTTGGTGTGAACGCGACATAAGGGTTACTAACGGAACTAAACGCGAAAAGTACGGTGAAAAGTACTCCGGTGTGAACGCGGCTATAGGAAACAAACCCGTGCTGTCTAATTAACCGACAGGGTTTAAAAGACAGCCGGTTTAAGCCGCGAGCCCTGCTGCCTAATAACCGACAGGCCATATGAGGCAGCCGCTTATGCAGCTTTTTTTATGTCATCCGGAGGAGAGCTCTCCTGAACCGGGGGAACGGGGAGATCTCATTAGGCGGCTGCCTTTCCGATGATCTCCGGGAGTTCCTGGAGAATACCGCCTATCGACGGCAGAGCCGTGATGGCGGATAGAGGGACCTGGTGACCCGGGACCCGGTGTCAGCCCGGCAGCCGAACCTAGGCTCTGCTGCCGGGCCGACACTGGGCCCCCGCCCTGTCTCCCCCGTCCGGAGGAGAGGGAGGATGGGGCCGGGGGAACCACATGGTGATCCGTGAATGGAGGGGAAGGAGTCGCCTGACTGCTGCCCGCCACTCGGATCCAATAAATAAATGGCTTGGTCCACAGAGTAAGACTCCTGGACTAGCCAATCATCCTCGGCCGCAGCAGCGAGTGCGTCCGCTCTCCGCTGTCGGAGGGAGATGGACACAATGAGTGCACGACACCTGGGGAGTGAGAGCCGCGTTTGCATGCTCCAATCCCCGGCAGGACTCACTGTGAGCTCCGGTCGCAACTCATATGTCGGGTTGACACCGGTCCCCGCCCTGTCTCCCCCGTCCGGAGGAGAGGGAGGATGGCTCTGAAAAGAACTTGTGCCTGACAGTGCTTCTGCAACGGAGTGCTGAAGAAAAGTGGGAGCAGATTGTAGGGCCTACTTTCTATTTATACGGAAGTGAGTCCGTAGGTGGGGCCCACGTCATAGGTGGGCGTGGATTAAGTCTGTCAGTGCTGCACACGTGCAGTGGGATTACCCAATAGCGATAGCCTTAGAGGGCGAAGCTTTATACGATATAGGTTCAAGGTTCAAGGTTCTTTATTGTCAAACTAACATAGCTACAGAGTAATTATGTCGTTGAAAATCTTATGTCACAGACTTCTCCAACAATGCAACATAATAATACAGATAGTAAAAGTAATACAAAAAGAAAAATAGTTCTAAAATAAAGTGAGTATGTGGAATAGTGCAGTACGAGTCTATATACAAGTTATTGGAATGATATATATTAGATAGTAGATATATATTACTAAGTAGAAGATGAATGTTTTGAAATTGTTTCAGCAGTTCAATTGTTTAACAGTCTCACTGCCCGCGGAAAGAAACTGTCTCTGAATCTTTTTGTTTTTGCCAGGATGCTGCGGTAACGTCTGCCAGACGGCAACAGAAAGAACAGTTTGTGGCTGGGGTGATGGGGGTCTTTGATAATCCGTAGGGATTTCTTCCTGAGCCGCTGGGAGTAAAGGTCCTCCATGGATGGCAGCTCCGTCCTGGTGATGTTCTGTGCAGTTTTCACCACCCTCCAACCTTACGATTGAGGTCGGTGCAGCTGCCGTACCAGGCCGTGATGCAGCCAGTCAGGATACTCTCTATGGTGCACCTGTAGAAGTTGCAGAGTATCCTGGAATCCATTTTGAACCTCCTCAGCCTGCGGAGGAAGAAGAGCCGCTGTCGAGCTTTCTTGGTGATGGTGGTGGTGTGAAGAGTCCATGTCAGGTCCTCAGTGATGTGGACCCCAAGGAACCTGAAGCTGCTGACTCTCTCCACCGTAGTCCTATTGATGGCGATGGGGGCGTGTCCCTCTCCCTGCTGCTTCCTGTAATCCACAATCAGCTCCTTTGTTTTGCTGATGTTGAGATATAGAAGCAGGACAACAAAATAAAATGCTGCATTGTTTTTGAAACAAGAACCATATGCCCAAGACATTTCTACATTTAGATGACATGTTTAGAACTCAGTACATTTGAACCATTAACTAATTTAACCATCAACATCCATTTAAGTGCACACAACAGTGCAAACAAAACAAAAAAACAGGCTTGTGTGCTAGTATGGTTTTTGAATAAACACATCAGTATTTTAAAAAGTCAAATTGTATCAAGTGCATCAGACAACTCAAATTACTCCATTTGAACCATATTTAGAATTTCCTTATTTTAACTAAAGTAATTCAACCTAAGTGAAGCCAACCTAAGAAGTGGGCACTACAGTCAGGAACTAGCTTACTTTTTAACATTCTACTCAAAGGGCCAGTAAATATTATCTCCGCCAATATGCTATATTAAAATATCATTAAAAAAGTCATAGTATTCTATGTTGAAATTATCAAGGAAAAAGCCATTCCATGTTATGTTAACAAAAACAAAAGTTCTGTTTTATATGTTGAAATATAATTTTAAAAAACAATGATGTAGTTGTAGTTTTATATTTAAAAAAACGTCATGATATAGTATTTTCGTACTTTAGTATGTCAAATTTAAGAATAAGTCATATTATAGTTTGTAGTATGTAGAGTAGTATGTTGAAAATCTCAACAACAAATGAAAAAAAAAGGCATAATACAGTTTGGCAAAAAGTAGGGCTGCATAATATATTTAAGACTTATTCTTATCGCAATATCACATCTTAAAGACAGCTTGAACTGGATAAATGGTTAGTCTTTTTCAAACATACCATACGTTCAGGAACTGCATGTTAGTATATTTGGCCAATCGGGTTAGGCCCTACTGCCCTAGACGCACCCCCTCAATACAGAAGTCACGCTTTGGGAAGAGGTGTTTCATTTCACAGATCTGACTTGATTGTTGTTGTGATGGATGAAGGAAGAGAGACGTGCGAGGAAAATTCAGAGGATGAAAGCCCCGGCCACACGAGGACGATAACGCAAACGGACCGCAATCGTTATCAAAAAAGTATTCCGTCCACACGCAACAGGCACCAGAAACGTGTCCCTTCACACGAGACCGCTCGAAAGCGCTGGAGACGCTGTAGTACATATGCCAGGCCTGTAAGTGGCGCTGTAGTCCTGCCACAAAAGCAGCGAAGAAGACTTCCCGCGCATGGTTGCCATGGTTGCCCTTCTGTTTATTCTCCGCTGTGGACGCTCTGGCTCTTTTTCTCCCTCCCCGAGGCAAGCGTTTGCTCCTGCTGTAATTCTCTCCGGTAGTCCACCAGCAGATGAAAAACACCCACCTCTCCGCCTCTTCCAAGGAACGAGGGGACCGTGCGGCAGAGTTTCAGTTAGATTTTTTTTCGCCGGTCAACATGTCCGTTAAAGTTTAAATCTTCCGGACAAAATTTGAAAAGTGCCGGTCAAAGGTCTTCTTTGTTATTTATTGAGCTTTAAAACAAATGAATAACGACTCTATATAGTAATAAAAAACGGAGCCTCTCTTTTCCTCCCCCTCTTCTGACAGCTCAGCAGCTGATCTCTGAGCAGGAGAGGTGGGGAGAGGTGGGGCTATTGCTTCAACGTTATCAGGAAATGATCGTATAGGCGTAAACACGGAGCCGTTTCCACCCCCCGAGCGTTTTGTTTGCAGATCTACCCACCTTGGGACCCGTTATCGTTATCGTTTTCTGCGTTTCCATGTCGGCCTCGTGTGGCCAAACCGTCTATCTGATAGAGAACTATAGCAGATATGACCATTATCGTCATATCTGCTACAGCTGAAACACTCCTTTGTGCATCAGTCAATCCTCACAGTAAATACATAGCTGAATCCCAGATCAAATGCACGCTGAATAGTGATGTGTCGGTCGCGAACGAGCCGGCTCAAAGAGCCGGCTCTTTTAAGTGAACGGCGGGAGCCGGCTCGCACACGCGAACGAGCCATTATTTTTTTACATATTTTTTTTTACGGGTGCTCCGCGTACATGCAGTGACTGAATGTCACGCGCATGCTGTGCATCACGTGAGTATAGACAAGGAGGGAGGGGCTGCGTGTGCTCAGTGCTGGTTGCTGAACAGAGGGAGAGGAGAACACACGGTGAAGTGTCAGTTTGCGTTGCGCTAATAAGATGAGTGAAAGTAGGAAAAGAAGCAGCATTTGGCTGCATTTTAACAATTGTGCAAACACAAAGGCAGAATGCAGAATTTGCAACATGAAGCTCTCATATAGAGCAGGGTCCACAAACAACCTCCACAGGCACTTGAGAACTGTGCATCCAACAGTTCAGTTGGAAGAAAAAAGGCAGGCCAGACTGCCTGCTTCTGCCAGTGCGTCTACTCCACCTGTTGTTGCTGCAGCTACAGGATCTACCCCCCATGCATCAGGTACCCACAAACCAACAGCTACACAGAGCTCAATAAGCCAATTTATATCAAAGGCAATGACCCCAGCTAGACAGAACATAGTGGATGAAGAATTGGCCAAAATGATCGCAAGTGATTTCCAACCATTTTCCATTGTGGAGGACAAGGGATTCCGAAGCTTCACACAGGCTCTCAATCCAATGTATGTTCCTCCGAGCAGGAAAACACTCTCTCAAAAAATCATTCCGAGACTGTATGATAGAGAACGTGCTTCACTGCAGGCCAGGGTTAAGGAAGCTACTGCAGTTTGCCTTACCACTGATTGCTGGACATCAAGAACCACCACCTCTTTCATGTCTGTTACATGTCACTTTATAGAAAATTATAAAACGGTGGCCTGTCTTCTGGACTGTTTTGAGTTTAGCGACAGACACACTTCAGAAAACTTGGCAGAGGAACTGCTAAGAGTGGCAAAAGAGTGGGACATTGAACATAAAGTGGCTTGCTGTGTTAGTGACAATGCAGCTAACATAACCAAAGCCATTAAACTCTTGAAATGGACCCACCACCCATGTCTCGCACATACCATCAACCTGATGGTAAGAGATGCCCTGAAGGTCATGAAGCCCACTCTTGACAAAGTGAAGGGGATGGTAGAATTCTTCCATAAGAGCACAAGATCAACAGAGAAGTTGAAGTCTACTCAGCGCCAAATGGATATGCCTGAGCTGAGGCTCAAGCAAGACTGTGTCACAAGGTGGAATTCTACATTGTACATGCTGAAACGGGTTCTGGAGTCAAAGGATGCAATCATCTCTACCCTGGCCCTTATCAATGCACATATGGATGCTCTGGATCAAGAAGAATGGGAGGCACGACAGGAGACCTGCACTGTTTTGGAACCCTTTGAGCAGGTCACCGTGGAAATCAGCTCAGAGAGGTACAGTTGACAGTTGTTATTATATTATTTATTATTATATAATAACATATTAAGGAACATTTTAGATGTGAATGTCAGTAATATTAAACAAGAATAAACTGAGCAAAGTCTATATACCACATAATAAAACAAAGCATAATAATAGAGTCACTGTTTTCTCTTTTTTCAGCGATGTGACATCCTCCAAAATGCTACTCCTCTGCAGGGGTCTGCAGAAAATCACAGCCTACAACCAGACACAAGTGACCAAGAGGAAAGTGACAGAGTTGGTGACTGCTCTCTCAACGTCGATGGACAGAAAGTTCCACAGAATGGAATACAACACTGTCCTATCAGAATCTACTGTACTCGATCCAAGGTTCAAAAGGCTGGCCTTTAATGATAACTGCGCTGTTGATGAGGCTCTTCAGAGAGTAACAGCAGCAGCAGCTCGTTGCGACCTCAGCAGCCAGCCAGCTCAACCACCAGGAGGCCAAGAGGGAGAAGAGGGAGCAAGGGCACCAGAAGTGGAGCCACAAATGTCTGCTGTTTGGAGGCTCTTTGATGCAAGAGCAACAGAAGACATTGCAAGAAGGAATCCCTCAGCAGATGCTATGCTGGAAGTAAGGTCCTATCTGGAGGAGCCTCTTATCCCAAGAACCGCAGACCCGCTGAGCTGGTGGGAGTCCAAGGGCCGTTCTCATTTCATCAAATTCCCCTCCTCGACTCCCCTCCTCGACTCCTATCCTCAAGACTTAGTCCCGCCCACAGGAGATGTGAGCCGAGGAGCCGAGGAGGGGAACCGAGGAGAGAGGAGGGGAAGCAGCAGGCGGTTAGAGAAATGAGAACTCCTCTCCTCTGAGCGGTCATTTTAAAGAGACGTCCATTAATGATGACAGGAGGCACAGCAGCACTCTGTCTGATGGACAGATGTGTTCATGATGACTTATATATTTACTTTGAATTCATTCACAGTGCGGTATAATGAGACAATAACAGGCTACAGATGCGGACACACACACACACACACACACACACACACACACACACACACACACACACACACATATATATATATATATATATATATATTTATATAAATATATACAATTTCAGAATCAAACAGAGCACTCTCATAATAACGTAACACTATCAGAGACTGGATATATCCCCCCCCCCCCTCTCTGGTCGCTACAATGAGGAAAATAAATTACGGGCCAAAAGTTTTATTTACAAGTATTAAAAGTAAGTAGAGGACACCAAACCAACTGAGACCTGTCTGTCCGCTGCATCTACGCACACACTGCACCACACACGCCTACACTACACACACGCACCTACAGCTCCTAAAGCATAATATCAGGCTACAGCCGTTGTGTATTTTATTATGTGAAGCACTAAATGGTTTTAGAAAAATATCGAGTCTTTGTTTGTAGATATCTACTAAATTAAAGCAAATACAGAGAGTAGGCCTGTTATACTGAGTGATATATATTATACACACTGCTCTGCTTTCTGCACGGACCTCACAGCTGTTCTCACTGTAAACATCGCGTTGCGATGAAAGCAGTTAATAAAATAATATCCAGGGGATGCATGCAGAGCTGTCATTGGCTGAGATAAGTCTGGCCGTGCGTCACGACTCTTTGAAACATCTCTGTTCCCGGAAATGCATCCACGAAGGAGCCGTGGAGGCCCGTGGAGGACCCATCAGTGTATCCTCGGTTATAGCTCCTCCAGAGAGCCTCCTCGACGCTCGATGCTCGGTCCTCGATGTGCATTTAGAGAAATGAGATGTCCTTCAACATGGCGCGCTAAAATTAATTTCCGGGTCACTACCGGAGGACCGAGGAGTCGAGGAGGGGGATTTGATGAAATGAGAACGGCCCCAAGGCTTCAGTGTACCCACGACTTGTGAAGGTCATGGCACGGCAACTGTGCATTGTAGCCACATCAGTCCCCACAGAAAGGATCTTTTCTAAAACAGGGCAGATAATAACAGAGAGAAGAAACCGGATCAACCCCTCTAAGCTGAGGCACTTGGTCTTCCTCAATGCCAATCTGCCCTGAAAAGAAAAAGAAAAGGTTACAGTTTGATAGTTGACGGTGGTAGGTTCATTAGAGACTGTTTGATACTGCTGTTTTGCACATTACAATACATTTATTTTTATTATGTTTTTTGTGTGATAGAGACTGTTATTTGCTGCTGTTTTGAGCATTGCAATATATTTATTTTCATTATGTTATTTATTTATGATTATTTTTATTTTTTAAGATTTTATGTCAGCTGTTGCTATATTTTGTAGTTTATACTGAAATAGAGCCCTGCTGTTTTGTTAGGGCTTTTTGTTTAAATAAAAATGTAAAATATACAAAAATACGGTAGCTGTCCTTTTTTAAATGTCTATGCTTAAGTTTTTATTGGTGTTGCTATCTGCTTTGTGTAGCGTGGTTCTACAAGCAAGTCAGTGCATTCATGGGGTGGTATCAGAGAGTTACAAGGGTCTGTAAATGCAATGAAAACAATTGGCCACAGCAAATCATTTATATTAAAAATTTAATTTTTACTTTTGAATACTTCAGTACAAAGGATGTGTTGAATAATTTAAGTGATATATGTGTACACATATAAATAATTAGTCAAAAAAGGGTTACATTTGATTGAATTATAAAAGGTATATGTGGTAAAATAGAAGAGCCGTTTGGGAGCCGAAAGAGCCGGCTCTTCTTGGTGAGCCGAGCCAAATGAGCCGGCTCACTCAAAAGAGCCGGAATTCCCATCACTAACGCTGAAGGCTCTTTGAGCAGCTTTTCTCTCACTGATTGTGCTGTTATGTTAAATGTTTGTTGTTTGTGTTTCATGTATTTGTGTCTGGATATTTGTTTGTTGATGTTGGACATGGAGCTGCTGTGACGCAAGTCAAATTTCAGACTTGATCTGACAAATAAAGTAATATCGTATCGTAAGTATCTTTGTAGGAGAAAAAAGCAAAAATCATTTAAGTTATTTCCAGAAAACTGGATTGTCTTACTAAAATCACAAAGTGCCTTTAAGAGTCACAGTCTTAAAGAAAATCTGTTCAGAAAAAGTACTTAACTTTCTACAAGTTGTCATACATAAAACTGTATCCAAAAGTAAGAAAAAGACAACGAGAGAAAAAAGCTAAATCTGCCTAGTGTCAGTAAAAAAGTGTTAAAATCACAAACTTGCCTTTTAGAGTCACAGTCTTTAAGAAAATACATTTGTTACAAACTAATTGACATTCTACCAGTTTTAAAATGTTCCTACATAAAAGTGTATCAAAAAAGTATCTTGGTAGCAGAAAATAACTAAAATATGTAAGGTTATCAGAAAAAAAACATACATTGTTTAACTGAACAAGTGTTAAAATAAAAAAACTGCCATTAAAGAAACCAAATTCCTTACAAAGTACTTCATATTCTACCAGTTGTAAAGTGTTCCATACATCAAAGTGTATCTAAAAGTATCTTAGTGACACAAGAAAAGAGAAAAAAGCATTGATGTTAACAAAACTATTGTTCCACTGAAATAGCGTTAAAATCAAAGTGCCTTTAAAGAAAATCTATTCAGACAAAGTATTTTATTTTCTAGTTTTTAAGGTTTTGCATACATAAAAGTGTATCTTACAGTACCTTGGTGAGAGAATTACACACAAATCTGCCGAATGTCAGTAAAAAAAACATGTTAAAATCACAAACTTGCCTTTTAGAGAAACAGTCTTTAAGAAAATCTATTCAGACAATGTACTTCATTTTCTAGTTTTAAGGTTTTGCATACCTCAAAGTGTATCTAAAGACACAAAAAAAATCTAAAATCTATAAAGTTATCAAAGAAAACTGCCTAGTTTCAGTAAAAAGTCTTAAAATCACAAAATATTTTATTGTCACAGTCTTTAAGAAAATACATTTGTTACAAAGTGATTGACATTCTACCAGTTGTAAAGTTTTCAAACAACAAACTGTATCTAAAAGTATCTTTGTAGCAGAAAAAAGCAAAAATCAGTAAGTCATCATCGACATTGTTTAACTGGATTGTCTTACTGACAAATATTTCATTTTTCTAGTTTGAACTTTTTGCATACATTTAAACGTGTATCTTACAGTTCTTTTGGGAGAGAATTACGCACAAATCTGTCATCTCAAAACATTCTATTGCAGTATTTTATCTGTTTTATTTGTTCTATGTCCTCTATATATATATGTTGCACTGTTGGAGGAGCCTGTGACCTACGTTTTTCATTGACATATCTACACTGTAGCTAATATGCAGATGACAATAAAGCCTTGAAAACATGAAACTTGAAATTATCAAAACTGCACTGTGTCACTGAATCAGCCCCAAAAATCACAAACTGCCATTAAAGAAACCCAATTCCTTACAAAGTACTTCATATTCTACCAAGAAACCTTTTTCCTTACAAAGTACTTCATATTCTAGCAGTTGTGAAGTGTTGCATACATCAAAGTGTATCTAAAAGTATCTTAGTAACACAAACAAAAGCAAAAAGCATTAATGTTAACAAAACTAGATTGTCTTACTAAAATGACAAAGTGCCTTTAACCTGTTGAGCCCCACGGCCCCGCGGGCGGGGGCAAAAACGCAACATCTGCAAGAAACCGCGTCTGAGGGCTTCTTAACATTTGAGGGCACCATTTTTACCGAAACAAAACACAACTCTAACGCCGAGCCTCTGAATTAGCCCTGAGCGAAAAAATGCTAACGCACTTAGCACAGAACTCACGGTAGAAATACTTAAGTACTTATCGGATCTGCACAAACAAGATATCAGATTAAAGATGAGATTCCACAGATTCTAGAGGTATAAGTATCATCACTGTGCGACCAAAACTCGCGGCAGCTCAGGCAAACCCAGACAACACACAGTGTTACCTTTGCTGTTTTTCTGATCAAAAGTTGTGTTCAATGGCATTAAAACGAGAAAAACGCTGCTGAAGGTTAATCCAATGTGTCTGTGTCACTTTGAAATGATTACTGATAATCCATCATTCAATTTTTGTCAAAAACTGAGATTTCATATTAGCTGCTATGAGAGCTACAACCCAGCTTCCGGTTTTGGGCAAACTGCGTGCGCATCACTCTCACTCCTCAATGGAAATGTTTAGATGGATTCCCCTCGATTCTATTGGCTCTAATGGTTCAAAAGAGGTGTCAATCATCAAAATCGACCGAGGGGGGCGAGAGATATGGCAAATACACCCAAATGACCCCAGAAGTGTTTTTGTTGTTGTTGCTAAACCTCTCTAAAAATGTCAAATGTCACTTGTTTTGCATCAATCTTGATACAGGGTACTTATTATATGTTATAGCACTGGTTCTCAAACTTTTTCTGTCATTCCCCACTTTGAACAGGTGGGCCTTTTCAAGCCCCACCTGTTCCTCATCGCTCCAATAAAATGGTAGGCCAAGCTTAAAATTGTCAAATGTATCGTTCTATAACAGGGGCAGAGTTCCCGTTAGAATAATTATTTGCCGGTCAAATTTAAAGTTTAAATCTTCCGGACAAAATTTGAAAAGTGCCGGTCAAAGATCTTCTTTGTTATTTATTGAGCTTTAAAACAAATTGATATGATTCGATATTAAACAAACTAATTATAGTAGATTAATTAACTATTCAAACATGTACAGTAACTTATAATAACACGGGAATAATAACATGGGAATAATAAACGGAGCGCTCTGTCCTTCTCCTGACAGCCCGTCAGTATCATGCAGCTCGCGGATCCAGTAATGAGTGACCCGACAGTAAAACTAAACATATCTATAACTAGTTTAGGTAGTTTGAGAGGTAATTCAAATAGCTACGTGTGATATTCTAACCTGAAGTGTGTGTTTTGTTCCGCTCACCGCTGCAGGTGATTATGCAGAGCTGCGTGTCGACTCTTCAGCAGCAGCTGATCTCTCTCTCCCGTCAGATTAGACTTTTCTCGCGTTTATGTCCATATCGATCAGATCTAGCTAGTTCTAGCTAATGATATGACTACCTGCTTATTAAAAGACACCTAAACAATAAGCGTTGCTATGCAACCGGGTGAGGCCACAAAGTATAGCGCAGCATTATGCATTTGTTTACATGCCCACCGGAACCCCGAGGCATTACCAACAGATCAACGCACAATCAACCAATACAGGACATCTCTTTCTCCATTAGAATTGACTACTCTTGTCTGTCACATACTCTTTTGTCTGTCACATACTATTCTTGTCTGTCACATAAGTGACAGCAACGCGTATCTCAGACCATTTACCGGTTCTGTTTACAACCTCGATCCCTTCCGCAGGAGTCGAATCACGTGCCCCTGCGCGTCGTCTGCGTTCAATCAACCCCTTGACTGCCTCACAGTTTTCTGATGTTTTTAATGCTTCTCCGATCTGTAAATTAGAGGTGAACTGTGCTTTTAGTGCTGATGAGCTTATCTCCATGTTTGACTCGACATGTACCCTAATACTGGATTTTGTTGCTCTTTTACGCTTAGACGCACCAAAGTTCTCTCAGAGCCGTGGCTCAATGACTGTACTCGTGCTCTCAGACGCGCTTGCAGGCGTGCAGAGAGAAAATGGAAAAAGGATAAACTCCATGTCTCCTTAGAAATCCTTCGTGCTTGCCTTTCCGACTACCAGACGGCAGTCAAAGCAGCCAAAACAGAGCACATAAACCTCAGGTTCTTTTTAATGTCCTCAACTCTATAATTAATCCCTGTGATGTTTCTTCTATTGTGCCATCGACTACTCTCTGTGATACATTTCTTACATTTTTTATTGAAAAAGTATCTGAGGCTAGCCCACACTAGTGCTACCCCAGATCCTGCTCCTTTTCTGTGCCCTGCTGTCCTCGACCACTTTGAGCCTGTATCCCTCTCTTCTCTCTCGGATGTAGTCAAGCACCTGCGGCCGACAAACTGCACCTCAGACAGCATTCCCTCTCGCCTTCTCAGAGATGTTTTCGAATCAGTTGGAGCAAGTGTTTTATTACTAATAAACACCTCTCTT